TCCCCCCTATCCCTTCCCCAGGCGGCCCCCCACCCTCCCCCTCCTCCCCAGATTTGCCCCCTTTCCCCCATTCATTCCCAACGAACTTCATAGCTCAGTGTGGCTGCACATGCAAGAACTGTTTTATCATGGACTCCGACCTGTTATTCAGGGCCTAGTTGCACCACTCAATGTCTGCCCACATTTCGAATGCAACTGGTCATGAACACTGTCCACATGCATTCAAAATCTTAGACACATGGCGAGTGGCGCAACTAGGCCCTGAACCACCAGTTCCTCTAAAAGCCCCTTTGCCCGAGATTACAATTTCTGCAGTGCGTGAAGAAAACACAAACCGTTGGGGGTGCGAAGTGCAGCGTTTTGCCTGGTGATGTCGGGCTTTTCCTTCGGGTAGGCCAAGCCGCCAAGCCCCCAAGCCCCCGGCCATGCCGCAGGTTAACCGCCGTGTTTGACCAAGTAGTAGCTGGGAAAGGGACTGGTGGTTTAATGTAGGATTGTCTGCAAGTCATGTGTAGTTTCTGTTGAAAGCCTACTGTTTGAACAACAGCAAAACGACCCGTAATACCAAGAGCTGATTCAAAATCAACCACTCCATTCACAACCAGAGCCCCACACTTCGTTTTGCAACCAGCATTTTGCTGCTGTGATAGCAGTCCAGCAGCAGAGGTCAAGCATCCGCAGTCTTCCTTCATTCACGACCACCCTCGCCCTTCTCCAGGGCACTACCGGGTCACCCGACATTTGTCCCTTGTCTACCCCTATCCGCCGCTTGTATACCCCTTGGAAACCCATTGTACACCTCCTGTATACCCCTTGCATATAAAGCTTGCCTACCCCTTGTATACCCCAGTCAACCCTTGTATACCCACTGTATACCCCATATATACCAGCACCCCTTGTATACCAGCATCCCTTGTATACCGGCACCCCTCGTGTCCCAGCACCCATTGTATGTACCCCTTGCATATAAAGCTTGTCTACCCCTTGTAGCCCTTGTGTACCAGCACCCATTGTATATATCCCTTGCATATAAAGCTTGTATACCCCTTGTGTACTCCATCTACACTAGCACCCCTTCTATACCTCTTGTTTAACCCTTGTATACCCCTTGTATACCCCTTGTATATCCCATTATACCACCAGCATCCCTTGTATACCAGCACCCCTTGCATATATACCCCTTGCATTTAAAGCTTGTCTACGCCTTGTATCCCCCATCTATACCAGCACCCCTTGTATAGCTCATGTTTAACCCTTGTATGCCCCCCCCTTGGTACCCCTCATATACCAGCTCAATCTGGGGCCAATGGGGGATGGTGGTGGTTCAATGCATCTGGAAAGTTTGATTACCTATGGATGACAATGGTACCCTACTGGAAGCATCCGGACGGAAAATGAGCCACGGTTACCAAAAAAGAAAAAAGAAAAAAAACACCAGAAAAAGGAAGCATAGCCATAAGGCTATTCTTTTATTTAACCAAAAAGAAGAAAAAAAACGCAAACATAAAAGAGAAAGAAAAGCGACCTGATGACCTGGCAAACATTCTTTAGCTTCGAGCACGTCTGACAGATTTCAGTCTTCTTGTAGCGAGCATCTCTTCCCGGCCGCCAGCGGAAAACCGTGAAAGGACGAGTGCAAATCTAAAGCAGAAAAAAAAACGAAAAAGAAAAGCAGAGAAAACAACAAATAGATAGATGAGCAGAAAGAGTCACCAGAAATAGATCCAAGGTTCAATCCTCGCATTCCTCACCTCATTTCCACGTGCCATAAACCATCTTCCCCCGAAAAGAACTTACGCCGCATACGGTAATTATGGCTATGTATAAACAGAAATTTGCCTCAAATACAGCTATAATGGCCGTACGATCTGTCAGGGGAAGACAGTAGACTTACTGCATTGTCTACTACCATCTTCCCCACGCCCGCCCCTCCCCACCCCCCCACCCCCCCCTCTTCAACATAACGCACGCTTATCAAGACTGTATAGGACCAGAAAGATAGCTTGTATACGTTCATGATCAGGGCGCTTTCGTTCGGGTCAACATGGCAAGCTTAGTGTTTGTGTCTATTACACAAGATAAGCTGAACTGCCCAACTGTGAAGTACATCAGCAGATGTTATAATCATACGTAAATGAGTTTTGGGCCTTTTGGCTGGTACAACCACTCGATTATCTACTTCTAATAAACGTAATTGACCCAATTCTAGATCATCCTCTGGAACCATACCACTATCAAACGTTAAGTGATTGTTCATCAGAAGTATATGGATCCAGAGACCATTATACCACGAACCAGTCATCCAGATGTCATGGTTACCAATGTACTCGTTACCTTAGACAAAGGTAGAAGAGAGATGTCCCATTCCCATAGACAAAGGTAGAGAAGAGTTCCCTGTCCCCCATAGACAAAGGTAGAGAAGAGATGCGTTGCCGCTGCTTATATTATCAAAAATGTCTGATTACATCAACTTCCAGTCTCTCAAGTTCATCAGCTCATAAATCAACTCTGTTCATCATCCCATCAATATGGAGACCAGMGCAGCAACATCATCATGTYGAAGTACAGCATTACTCAGGTAAGTGACATCTTCTCCTCTCTCTCTCTCCTCCTTACTTCTTCCTCTCTCTCACGGGCACATTATCTCTCTTGTCTCATGAAGATCTCGTTCAGAATACACTCACAGATAGAACACCAACTAGTAGGCTAACATCCTATCTCAACAGGGCAGCTATGGCTGCATTCATCCAGCCAGCGCCCTCACTCTCTTCCTGCGCCACTTCTTGCTTCCAGCGCTGACTTCAYCTCCCACTCTAGCGCACAAATGGCCAGCACTTCCACGCCAGTGGGGAATGAGCTTCCAGGAGGCYCACTGCCTCTTTTATAATCTTGGCGAGCAGCTTCAGCCTCTGAATTGGTACTTCGGCCTGGCCCAGATCTGCATTGCATTAGTCCCATCTCTTTTCCCACGAGGTACTGCTTGAATTTGAGGCCACCGGCCTAGCCTTTGGACTGACAGGACTGGATCTGGACTGCCCTCTAGACTTAAGACAGAACTGGGACACTTTTAGTTAGCTGTACCCACGGCCAGACACAAATCTAAGCGAACAGGCACATTCTCAAAATGAACAGACATTCTGCATTTCCCCCCTCAAATAAATGCAAGTTCTTTTACATACATTCCCTTTCTGTAGCTTCGTGTGCAGATGCATGTTGACTGTTCGACAGACCTTTGCTTTCTTTCAGAGATGTGACTTTTGACCCCCAGAGGTGACTTTTCGTTTGTCTACTCGTCTGTTGACTTGCTGGCTGGGTCCCATTCGCACCTGTTCAAAGTGCTTTACCTTTGGACGCTGTATTTTGATCCTTCCACGGGGTTCCCTTTTCACCCCTTTAACGCTGATTCTCTTTTAGAGGGTCTGAATGGGGTATTGACGGGTAAAGGCCCTTTTAATAATCGAGTGGACATGATAACCCCAAGGGTTGATGTCTGCTCAATCGAGTATGATAATGGAGGTCCAAATACATGACGACAGCGGACAAGATAACCCCAAGGGTTGATGTCTGCTCAAAGAAACTGAACTGTTAAAATACAAAGTTATAAATAAATAAAATAAAATAGAAATCATCCCCATACCTTGCATTCCTTGTCGAAATTCGCCTTTGTCTGCATGGATTAGCATCATATACCAGTCAAGCAAGCGCGAAAGAGAAAGAGAGAGAGACGAGAGGACAGAGAGGAAAGGAGAGGAGAGGAGAGAGGAGAGGACAGACGAGAGGAGAGAAGAGAGGAGAGCAGAGACGCGAGGAGAGAGAGGAGTAGAGACGAGAGGAGAGAGAGGAGAGGAGAGGAGAGAGAGGAGAGAGGAGAAAACACAAGGACAAAACAAACACGAGGAAAATAAAAATCCATCAGCAACAAGGAGTAAGTAGGGGAAAAGATTAAAAACAAAAACAAATAAACAAAAGAAAAGACCCACCGACCAAATCTAACCAACCTCCGCCGAGGAGAGGAGAGACAGGAGAGGAGAGAGAGGAGAGGAGAGAGAGGAGAGGAGAGAGAGGAGAGGAGAGGAGAGGAGAGGAGAGAGAAAGAAGAGAAAAGACAAACAATCCCATCAGCAACAAGGAGTAAGTAGGGGAAAAGATTAAAACCAAAAACAAATAAACAAAAAAAAAAGACCCACCGACCAAAGCTAACCAACCTCCGCCGCCCCCACATTCCCCTCTCCCCAACACAAAAAAAAGGCGGGAAAAGCACTACACACATTGTGGAGAACCATTTTCACTAAATTGTGGAAAAAGCTTTTCAAACAAAAGACCTCCGACCACGGCTAACGAACCTTCAGCTGCCCCACAAATAAAGAACACAACATCCACAAATCATCCCGACCCTACTTGCTACCTCGGTCGAGATCCCACTTGTCTGGATTCTACATTTCTGGCCGTCCACTGATTGAATGAAGAAGATTAACGGCCAATCAACGGCCAATCAACACGGCCAATCAACACGGCAAATCAACACGGCAAATCAACGGCAAATCAATGGCAAATAAACGGCAAATGATACAGATTACACTTCCTTGCAGCCGGACCTGGCCACTGGTTTAGGGTCGCGCAGTTGCACGCACGCTGATCTTCGTTCCTCGGCTTATCGAGGTGGCAGAGTTGCACGCACGTGCGCCACATGACAGCTCTCTCTCTCTCTCTCTCTCTCTCTCTCTCTCTCTCTCTCTCTCTCTCTCTCTCTCTCTCCACACACATACACAGAACTTGTCTTCTTTCCCATGTCTTTAAGCATCACCAAGCATCCGGTAATACCACATCTCATTACCTTTTTTTCCTTTCATTACCCTCATTTCCCATAGTGAAACCACCAGCACTTGGCCCAGCTATTGGCCGCCGAAAAAAATAGAGTAGAAAAGTTTCTACTCGGATAAACTCCGGCGCTCCTGTAGTGGCCCGTACGTTTCCTAAAATTGTGGCGCGTTAACGGGCACGGCTTTAGCAAGTACTTCCAGTGGCTAATTATGTTATGTCTATCATGAGGACAACAATCACCATGATCGTCATCGTTTCATCATCATCATATCCGAGCATCATCACCATATTACAAGCCATCTTCATCGGCATTAACCTTTACTATCGTCATCTTGTGTCTATCATCATCATCATCACTGTAATCACCTCACAATCAAAATCACCACAATCATCATCATACTCATCATCACCATCACCACCTTAATTGCCATTTTCATCGTCAACACCCGTTACTCTAGAATCTGTGTCCTTTTCTATCATCGACTCATCATCATCATCATCATCACCTCATCATCATCATCATAATCATCATCATCCATTCATCATCATCAACATACTCATCATCATCATCATCATCAGCAGCAGCAGCAGCAGCATCTGCATCTGATCATTCCTTAATTCACCTATTAGTATGCATGATCATCACCATTGCGTCACCAAGCACATTTCCCTTTTCCGCACTTTTCCTTGGGAGGCAGGAAAAACGTGTGCACACACCGGAAAACACAAATCCAAACGGGTGAAACCAAACATAAACGTAAAAAGAAAAAAAGAAGTAATTTTCCACCATCCGAAACGTTTTCTATGTCGGCAGTTGAGTTTCTAAATCATTTTGCCCTCCAATCGCTCGTTGGAAAACAAAGAAAGCAAATATGACCTTAATTAATTCATTCATCAAAACAGTCTCAGAGGCAATCTATTCAAGCCATCGACCAAAGCCAGTTAATCAAGCAATCAATCAATCAATCAAATCAATCAAATCAATCCATCGATCAAACGGCCTCAATTTGGGTGCGGCTCTTCAAATGAGAGAAGTGCCGAGTGTATTTTTCCGTTAAAACCGAATACATACACTGCATTTTTTCCCAATTAGCGATCAGTGCAGTTACGCGCGAAGCCAATCAATCAATCGATCAATGGTCGACTGGATCTCGGCGCCGATCACCAACTCCCGAAGTGATTCAAGGGGAAAGAATGGGTGGGGTAGGGGGAACGAGCACGCTTATTGATCAATCAGCATCAGGTTGTCAGCACGATTTGCCACGTGGCAGCTGCTCGAGATTCCACCAAGCCAATCAACACCTTACCAGAAGATGGTGATTCACTGTGCGTTCCATTATGCCCGCCACGTGGCACTCTGTGAGTTCAATTAGGGCTGCCACGTGGCAGCTGTATCGGGATGCCACACAGCTGCCAGATCCCAGCCGATCTGTGCGCTTCACTACGGCTCCAGCTCACATACACAACGGCAGATCGATCGCTAAGCCGATCAGTTCCACCAGCACCCCCACCCACCTCTCTCTCTCTCTCTCTCTGTCTGTCTCTCTCTGTGTGTGTGTGAAGGATTTAGCACACGTTAGGCGGGCATATACGCGAGCATGCGCAGACGTAACAGCTGGCTTTGACATGGCCTGCCATGCGCGTCGTCCTGAAGGGGGACCCGACAATCCGCGAAATCATAGTGTACCTATACTTCATGCCAATTCGAGGAAGGCAATGGCCCTCGCCTCTTCGTAATCCCCTGCACGCCATCATCATCCTCATCACCATCGCCGTCTCCAACCGCAATTTCGTCGGCACCGTCTTCACCCGAATAGAACGCCCCGGTCATTATAGCTGCATTTGGTACAACTTTCAGTCCAGATGCAGCGTTAATTACTGGGCGTTTTATTCCCGTGAAGACGGTAGCTGGCTCTGCTGTTACCGTTACCGTTGCCGTCCATGACCGCGCCCGTCAAGGAGTGCCTCAAGAAAACCGTCGGAACGAGCGCGGGAAGGGGAAGGAAAAGGGAAAAGCGCGGGAAAGGGAAGGAAAAGGGAAAAGCGCGGGAAAGGGAAGGAAAAGGAAAAAGCGCGGGAAAGGGAAGGAAAAGGGAGAAGCGCGGGAAAGGGAAGGAAAAGGGAAAAGCGCGGGAAAAGGAAGGAAAAGGGAAAAGCGCGGGAAAAGAACAGGGATAGGTGCGAATATGAGGGGGAGCTGACACGACGACAGGGAGCTGACGTGGAAGATAGCCGATGGGAGGAAGGGAGGTGCATTGTGGAGGCAGTCCAGAAGGAAGAGCACGGTATTTCCCACAGGGCGCTCTTATAAACGTTATCCATGTCTATCTTCAAACAGAGCTGCATGGTAAACGGTAGGCAGAGAGTGAAAAGAGGACAACAAACAAGCGGCTGTGATACATAGATACCATATACACATATATCTATATATGAAATTCCGACGAACACAGTTTGTCACAGCCCCTCCCTCGTTTCTTGTCCTCTTCTCCTCTTCTCTCCCTCCCTCTCTGCCTACGGTTTACCGGGCAGCAGCTCTATATATTGTCACAAGAATATCAGAGCGCAAATGCGAAAAAAAGAGAAAAAAGGAGAAAAGAAAACCAGGGAATAATTTTTTATCTTCTTCCTTATAACTCCCCCTGTTCAGAACCTCTTGCGTACAAGGCTGCTCAATCAAACAGATATGCAAATATATACCACCTGCAGGTAACGTGAACAGTACAGACCAACCGGTGAGAAGGTTTGAGTTTTTTTCGCGCCAATACAAAATACAACAAGAATAATGGAGAGGCTTGTTCCGCCTTCCAAACATGAGTGGGAGAATTACTAAGGAAAGATAAAAGGAAATATATATTGTCACATGATATCAGAGCGCCTAAGCGAAAAACCCAAAAAAAACAAAAAAATCTTAAATTCGTTTTTAATCTTCTTCCTTACAACTCCCCCTGTTCAGAACCTCTTGCGTACAAGGCCGCCCACGTGGATGTAGGTTGAGCGGCGGCTGCCCCCACCCCCGTGTGTCATATCGACCCACTTGCACACAGCCAAAAGGCAAAGAGGCAAAGAAGAGAGGAAGGGAACAGCCAAATGAAACAAATAGAACAGAGGGAAACAAGACAGATCCCAGATGACAAGTCCCACATGCAAGCACCGCCCGCTCCGTCAAAGGCCAAACAACGGGACAAGACCACCCAGGACAAGACATAAAAAAGCGACGATCCACAGTGTGACAACCAAGAAAAAAGAGAAGACAATCCTGGATGACGATTCCCACATACAGGCACCGCCCCGCCTCTCAAAGGGCCGAACAACGGGAAACAACCAACCAGGATGCCAAAAACCCGAATGGCTGGTCCCACATGAAAGCACAGCCACGCCCATAAGATAGCCCGAACAACGGGACCAAACCAACCGAGGTACAGACAAAATCAGCAAAACAAAAAAAGGCTCCAATCCACAATGTGACAACCAAAAAGAAGGAGAAGACAATCCCGGATGGCGATTCCCACATACAGCACCGCCCCGCGCTCAAAGGGCCATATATATTATAATAAAAACTGAAAAACCAAACAAAAGACGATCATCACAAGAGAATATCATAATAAAAACTGAAAAACAAAACAGATAGTCATCAAAAGTGATTGCTCCTCAATTGGTCTGGTCAGACGTTCGAGCTTGCTTGCCCCAAAAATGCGATAACACAAAGGAGTGCTCGCTCAATTATTTAAATATAATTTCTCAATCAAAATAAAATAACCAACTAACAGACGATAACTCCAAGGAAGAGACGCGGGAAGGAGGAAGAAATGTGGGAGATGAGGCTTGACAAGGGTAAGTTGGGGAAGCGGGAAAGAAAGGCAGAAGGGGTAAACGCGGGGGGGGGGGGGGAGGAGGAAGGAGGGGGCGGACAGGGTGAGCAAGCTGGATGGGCAGATACCAACAACGACAGACTCGAAAGAGAAAGAGAGGAAGAGAGAGAGAGAGAGAGAGAGAGAACGAGAGAGAGAACGAGAGAGAGAAAGAGAAAGAGAGAAAAAGAGAGAGAAAGATGTGGGGGGAAGGAGAGGGGAGCATAAGAAAAAGCGAAACGGCAGATGCCGACAAAGACACATAGAAGAGTGAGAGAGAGAGAGACGAGAGAGAGAGAGAGAGACAGAGTCAAAGAAAGAGAAAGAGAGAGATAGAGAGAGGACGGTGGGGAGGGCGGGGGGAGCAGAAAGAGAAAGAGAGAAGCATACCATTCTGACGTAGGGATTGTCTCCTAAGCAACTCTCGCAAATGATTGGGAAGTCGCTCCTCTCCCACCCATCTGCCTCCAAGTCTCGTAGTAATCGATGCGCCATGGTATCTCTTCCTGCCGCCTACCTTCCCACCTTACCCAAGAAAGAATATTCTCTAAGATTCGATCAGCTTATCCACAAATTATATCCCCCGAGTAGATAGGACAAAAGACTATTTATCTCTATTCAGCAGCCAAGCCCTCTCGCCTTTGCCCTCTCGATAAAGTCCTCTTCTCTTCTTCTGTAGGATCGGTTTTGCCGTTTCTCCCTTCTCTACTTGCCTATCTCCAAATTACCCCCCGAGAAGATACGACAAAAGATTCTACCCGCTTGTCTTCTTATCCGTTCCGCCTCAACCTTCAGACACGTGGCACTTCTCCTGCCCTTCCTCCGATGCTTTTTGTCGTTTTACTTCTTCCCTTCGCTTCGCTTTCTGTCGTCTTCCTTCTTCTCTCTCCGACCCAGGCAGCACCCCTGCACCCCTCTCAAACAACATCATAACGAACAAGAAAACAAACCAAAACGGCCAAAGCCACCACGGCTCAGCCCGCGTGAGGGAGGGATATATTTGAAATATTCAATTACTACCGGGGTATGCAAAAAAGAACCTCCAATAGTGAGTGTGTGTGTGTGAATAGCGGGACTGAAAAATATTGTCGGGGATATGTAGGCAGGTACAGAAAACAGCGATACTAGATTTGTTTCAGAAACAAACATAGACAAGTACAGCCAGTGCTGCTATGCCCGCACACATGGAAATAACAAGAGTTTTTTTCGGGCTCTGCTTAAGTATCCATCTACAGATCTCATCGCCGATAACTCTCTCTCTCTCTCTCTCTCTCTCTCTCTCTCTCTCTCTCTCTCTCTCTCTCTCTCTCTCTCTCTCTCTCCCCCCCCC